GGAGATTAAGGATGACCCTTTTTGTTTGGGGAAGTCTCATCCTTGGGTTGAGGCATTGGCAAAGAAGAGTAAGGAGAATGTTTCGAAAATGGAGGCACAGCTGGCAAAGGATGTTGTGCCGTTTAATTTTATGACACCAATGAGAATTATTAGAGATGCAATATTGCAAGTGGGCAGTCCTGCTCCTGTTGTTGTCTCTGAAGGCGCAAATACTATGGATGTGGGCCGATCAGTATTAGTTCAAATGGAGCCAAGGACCCGGTTGGATGCTGGGACGTGGGGGACAATGGGAGTTGGTCTAGGGTACTGCATTGCAGCTGCTGTTGCTTGTCCTGAAAGGCTTGTAGTAGCTGTTGAAGGGGACTCTGGATTTGGCTTCAGTGCCATGGAAGTTGAGGTTCGTTGTCTTTCTTTCTTATATCTTTTGCTCTTGATCCTCTATTAATAGTAATTTAATAGCATCTCACTGTCTTTTAATTGTTACCCCAGAATGCCTTTCTTTTCATGGTGATCAGACAAGCTCTTTATTACTTTTGCTGCTTGTTACTAGTATATATAACTCGTTTGGTAAATTTACCGTTCTTTGTTGAGTAATAATTAATCCCCACAAAATTGATTTTCCTCATTTATATGGAGTTGAACTTGTTCGTACCTAATCTTAGGCTCTGATGAAGCTCGAAATGCTAACTTTTCCTGCTAATTAGTAATAACTAGCTGTAGGCAGTTAATGTCCTTATCGGTTGTTAAGGATTGAGGATTCTTCTGTAGGTTCATTACGTGCTTTTTTACTGTTTCAGGGGTTAGTCAGATTTGATAGTCAACAGCAGTTGCTATCTTTCTAAGTAGCACGTTGGGTTTCAGGATTAATATCAATAAATGGATTAGCTTAGACTTCTTGACATTGGATTAGATTTTGTATGGCGTCTTGATGCCATTCCATATTAGAGACGTACTAATATCTCGTTCGGCACTTCTGCACCACTAAATTTTAATATGTACTGGACCATATCTGGCAGACATGCATGTTTGTCTATTATAGGTTCCCTTCTGTAACTTTGTTAATGTAAAACACGACTCATGTTTTAGTCTTGTAATGCAGAAGTGGATTTGAATTGGTTCAGAGCTTGTTAAGTCCCTAAGCCATTAATCTGTTTTACATCCTAGTTCGCCCAATGAAGCAATCTTCTAGGGTACAAGGATCTTATCGTTTTTCTAGTTGAAAAGATAGTTAAAAGGGAAGTTAAGGGGATTAGGAATGAAGCCTTGATCTGCTGTGCCTCGGCATAGCACGGTGATGCCATAAGTTAGTACAATTACTTAAACCTTGTCGTGCAACTACATCAGAGAATTCAACTTGATGTCATAAGTTAGTACAATTTCTTGAATTGGGATTTTTGTAACCTGTTCTAATTTTGAAATCAATACGTAGTATAATTGATGAGCACACAAATTATAATTTGAGTTAGCAAAGTTATCAGGTTAATGTTCTGTCTGTAGAAATATGGACCAAACTTTACAAGTACATAATTATTTTAAGAACATCTTACTTTCCATTTCGATGGGACATTGAATCAACTAACAGTTAGTTAACTTGCGGTTACGACTGGAACCTAGGCCCTTCCCTTGGTGTGCGGTTCTTAATGTTGTGCCCATAACCTGTCATATCAGTACTTGCACTCATCTTGTGCTACGCCATTAGACCAGTTCTGGGGTGATTCATGATTTTTCTTATCTATTTATTATTAACCCTGCAATGTTACGCCTTCAGCTTTTCCCCCTTGTTGCTTGTGGCGGTAACCTCTTACATTTGTAGGACTTATAAGTTTCTTATGGATACCATCTCTTTTGCTTTCTGTTTAAACTTTATAGCATTGATCACACTCTTCGCAATGCAATGTTATACTGCAAAATATACCTAACATACTCAGTTTGTTCTCTGTCATTTGCTAGGGCACTTGTTCCTTCTAACTCTAAGTTAAACTTATTAGTTAGAGTTACGTGTGACACCGTTGGCTCCCATATCAATTTCTTGGTTTACTTTCTTTCGAATTTTTGTTTACTCTTCTAATTCAGTGTAACTTATGTACTGCAGACCCTAGTTCGCTACCAGCTCCCCGTTGTGGTTATAGTCTTTAACAATGGCGGAGTTTATGGTGGTGATAGGAGGAACCCTGAAGAAATCACAGGGCCTTACAAAGAAGATCCAGCACCCACCTCTTTTGTTCCTGGCGCATCGTATCATCTTCTAATTGAAGCCTTCGGAGGAAAAGGATACCTTGTTGGGACACCTGATGAACTTAGATCTGCACTTTCTGAATCATTTTCGGCTAGGAAGCCTGCTGTTATAAACGTAACAATTGATCCTTATGCTGGTGCTGAAAGTGGTAGGCTTCAGCACAAAAACTGAGGTTCAGGGTCTGTGATTATTTGTGTCTAAGATATGCTTGCCGAAGTTCAGTTTTTGTCTACCACTGGTACAAACAGGGGGAAAAAAAGAAAAAGAAGAGAGATTGCTCTTATGACTTGGAATGAACCTCTATTGGAAAAGGAATAACTACGGAAATAGGCTAAGTGAATGTCTCAACTCGATGAATACCATCTTCTTAATGATTTTATGAAGGTTATTTTTTCATGTTTTGTTAGTGTAGTCACTGATAGGGCTTGGTCTTCAGTTACAGTTAACTATGATTTTTCATATACTATGGCGTTAAGGAACGGAAAACTCTTATGTTGTAGATTGAGTTGATAAGTATAATGGATTTGCAATAAGTATTCACCCTTGCTACCGACGAAGGTTACTTTTAAGATGATTCATATGGTTTTTCTGAAGTCTCAGACTTGTCATCCGTCAGTACTGGACTTTCTCAAGCTGCTTCAAATTATTGTCTTAGTATCTCAGGCGTTTTCTTGTGTTTGATAAGAAACTAAGGTAACAGATTTATGGCTCTTGTATCTTAAGCAGAATTATCATTGCACAGTCCAAATGCAGTTTGAATAGAATCACACTGATCTGTGCAACTCTTAAATGACAGTCTGCTTTAAGGCATGGTCCTATTGCCAAGTCCTGCTTCACTCTACATTGTTATGTCGTGCCACTCCGTAGGCACTACTAAATAGGAGTAAGAATTATGGTGCTGGTTTATAATTTTCAGAAAGATAAATGAGGAAGTTAAACGAAACAGTAGTGTATACGGTCAAAATCGTATGTCTCCGATTTATAGGCTCGAGCGTCCATCCTAGGTCCAAGCCCGGGCAGGGTCGAGTTCGAGACCGGTGGACCAGACTCGAGCTCGAAGATAGAGTGCAATGCCCGGAGGTAGGAGTACGAGGAATACCGGGACCAAGTATGCTCGACCTCGAAATAGTTCCGTTATGGATTTGTACCAGAATGAGCTACATTCCTGCCACGGCCCTAAAGTCATCAAGCAAATTCCGGAATAGGGTTGTACGATTCCGTACTAGGCGGTTAGATAGCTGTACCAAGAATATTCCTTACTGTAAATAGAAATATTCCTTATCTAAGGTTCCCTTATTATATAAAGGGGACCCCAATCATTTGTAACATCATCCAATCATTGAGAAAAGAATATACTCTCTACTTTTTCGCTTACTGTTCATCAGAATTGTCCTTAGCTTTACTGTTCTTACTCTACTTTTCTTGCTTAATTGTTCTTATTGTTCTAAGCCCACCTCGAGGCCACTAAGCTCGAGGTCACCGTTGTTGGGTAACACTGGTTTGATTAACTTGTTTCTTTTATTTCTACTTCATATTTCTTGATTATTAATTGGTATTGAACTAAATCACATATTTTTAAAATCACAAATCAAATCTTAACTGTTACTCGTATTTTCGAGGTAAACAGTTTGGCGCCCACGGTGGGGCTAAAGATAATAGTGATTATTTCTTTACTGATTCTCAATACACACGTTGTTTTTACACTTTTTCTTGTCAAGATTTTTTGATTCTCAGGCTGAAACATGTCTAGCACACAAAACACACCTGTTCATGACAGCGAAGGTCTTGGAGAAACAACAGTATAGGGGTCGGTGTACCACCAATAAACCCTAAGGAAGTGCCAAATATGGAGCCAGTTGATATTAGTTCACATAATGCTCTAAACGCGGATTCAGGCACAGACCCCGGAAGGAATGCACGCAGGGAAGCCCGATCTGGTGGCCAAGGAGCACGAGGAATGGGAGATGGGGGAATCAGCCTCCAAGTGATATTCGAGATGCTGCAAGCTCAGCAGATTGCCATCGCTCAACTTCAAAGTCAGAATAAGACAGCATAGCGGAACATGAAAAGACTCAACGTGCTAAACCAGCACCAGAAAGATCGAACGGAAATGACTCGGGGACTGACCCACCATTATGAGGATGCTCGAAGAGCTCACAAAGAGGATCGAGTCCGGAGAAAAGAAGATTGAAGACAATGACAAAAAGGTGGAAACTTACAACTCCCGTGTGGACCAAATATCAGGGGCACCTCCAGTTTTAAAAGGTTTAGATGCCAAAACAAATCATACAAAAACCATTCCCCCCAAGTGTGGCTCCGATGCCCATTCCTAAGAAGTTCTGCATCCCTGATATACCAAAATATAATGGGACAACCGACTCTAACGAGCATATTACTTCATACACTTGCAGGATCAAAGGAAATTATTTGAATGACGATGAGATCGAATCGTTCTTGTTAAAAAAGATTGGAGAAACGTTGTCGAAAGGAGCTATGATTTGGTATCACAACTTAGCTCCTAATTCTATTTGACTTGTTTGCTATGTTAGCATATGCCTTCGTGAAAGCACACACCGGGGACATAAAGGTGGCCACGAGAAAATCAGACGTCTTCAAAATAAAACAAAGGAACAACGAGATGTTAAGTGATTTCGTGTCTAGGTTTCAAATGGAAAAAATAGAATTACCTCTGGTCTCGGATTACTGGGCAGTACAAGCATTTATGCAATGTTTAAATGAAAGGAGCTCGATTGCATCTCGACAGCTAAAGCAGAACTTGATCGAATCCAGTCAAAAATCAGGGTCGAGGACGACCAGTTGGGAGCCCCCTCGGGTTCAGTTCATCCAAACAGATTCGCAGTCAAGCCCCCGAGGGACACATACCAGGAATCGAGGTTCAACAAAGAACGGTATCAGCCATATGTCGATCAGAGAAACAACGGTTCAGGTCGTAACGCTCCTCAGAACGATCGGAGGAACGATCGAAGTCAAAGTTCTCGGGGACTCATGAGTAAGAGAGGATTCGATAAGCATACCGATCCCGCCGAGGCCCCTCGATTATCAAAGTACAACTTCAACATAGATGCGTCGGGGATCGTCTTAGCCATTGGAAAAATCAAAGACACCAAGTGGCCAAGGCCTATACAGACCGATCCTTCTCAAAGAAACCCGAACTTGATGCAAGTATTATGGCACACACGGTCATAGAACAGAAGATTGCAGGAAACTAAGGGAAGAAGTGGCTCACTTGTTCAACGAGGGCCACCTTCATGAATTCCTAAGTGATCAGGCTAAGAATCACTCCAGGGAGAGAGATGCAAGGAACAATGAGCAAGAAGAACCACAACATGTAATCCACATGATCATTGGCGTAGTCGATGTCCCTCAACGACCTGTATTCAAATGCACCAAAGTATCAATCACCAGAGAAATATGGACTTGGAGCTATGTGCCCGAGGAAGTCTTATCATTCTTTGACGAGGAAGCAGAAGGCATATCTCAGCCCCACAACGACGCCCTGGTAATCTCTATCCTTTTAAATAAAATTCAAGTTAAACGTGTTTTAGTGGATCCAGGTAGCTCAGCAAACATAATAAAATCGAGGGTCGTGGAGCAACTCGGCCTACAAGATCAGATTGTACCTGCGTCCCGGGTCCTGAATGGCTTCAACATGGCAAGTAAAACAACAAAGGGAGAGATTATCTTGCCAGTAAATGTAGCCGGGACTATACAAGACACTAGATTCCATGTCATCGAAGGTGACATAAGGTATAACGCACTCTTTGGGAGGCCATGGATACACAACATGAGGGCAGTGCCTTCAACTCTTCACCAGATGATGAAATTCCCAACAGAAGAAGGAGTGAAAACAATCTACGGAGAGCAACATGCTGCGAAAGAGATGTTCGCGATCGAGGAAGAGGTACCAATACCAGAGTCTTCGACCTCAGAGAAGTCGAGCATCGGAGGTAAACATGCGGCCAAATAGTAATCACCGCCTCTAGTAGGGGTGGGCATAATACCGACCAAATCGAAAAATCGGCCGAACCGAAAATTTCGGTTTATTCGGTTTCGATTTTTTGGTTTATTCGGTCGGTTTTCGTTTTATAGTTTTAAAAAGTTCAGTATTCGGTTCGTGGTCGGTTTTAATAGTTCGATTTTCGGTTAAACCAAAAAACTGAATTTTAGTAGAGGTAGGGAATCCTTGATAAACATCACAAGATGCACTTGACCTTAACGTGGGGAAGATCTCTGGGAATCCCATTGCAAAAATATTCGCATCAGAATTAATTTTAATAATAGAACCATCAGTCTACCTACTTGTTACATTGTCCTTATTTCTCTGATATGATTTTTGTTCATCTTTTAGTTTCATGCATGTGATCTCAAAGACACATCCTTTTTTATTAGGCAGTTTTTCTTTCTCTATTTGAAATAGAGTGAACAGGCAGTTTGTTGTTCTACCCAATTTTTCTAGCTATATTTTTCGCTATTGACAGTAGAAGTACTTGCATCGGCTGCAAAAAGTAATCTATTTTCGTTGTTTCGTACTATTTTTACCATTGCTTGAAACAAAAAATCGAACTGATTAAACCGAACCGAACATGAATAATTCGAACCGAACCGAAGTTATTATGGTTAGGTTTTGGTTATTAAAATCACAAATTGAAAATCGAATTAACCAAACCGAAATTCTACAAAACCGAACTAAATCAACCGATGCCCACCCCTAGCCTCTAGCCTCGATAAAATCGTAGCAACATGTAATTGAAGACGAGGATGAGGATCTCTTTACTCCTCGAACCTTCGTCATTCCCGAAGAGTCCGATGCAACTCAGTCAACGAACGAGGAACTGGAGCAAGTCATACTAATCGAATGCATGCCCGAGAAAAAGGTATACCTGGGAACGGGATTGACCCCCGAACTCAGGAAAAAACTCATTCAATTTCTTATTGATAATATGGATTTCTTTGTTTGGTCCCATTTAGATATGATAAGGATTCCATCGGAGATCACCACAAATCGGCTAAGCACCGACCCCAGGTTCAAATCGGTAAAGCAGAAAAGGAGGCCTCAGTCCGAGGTAAAGCATGCTTTCATAAAAGACGAGGTAACCAAACTCCTTAAAATAGGGTCTATTCAGGAGGTAAAGTACCTCGAGTGGTTAGCTAACGTAGTTGTGGTTCCTAAAAAAGGAAACAAACTTAGAATGTGCGTAGATTATAAGGACTTGAACAAAGCATGTCCAAAGGATTCTTTCCCTTTGCCAAACATTGATCGTATGATCGATGCCATGGCTGGCCATGAGACCCTAACTTTTCTCGATGCCTACTCCGGGTACAATCAGATTCAGATGAACCCCGAGGACTAGGAAAAGACTTCGTTTATTACTAAATTTGAGACTTATTGTTACAATGTAATGCCCTTCGGGCTAAGAAATACAGGAGCTACATACTAACGCCTAGTTAACAACTTGTTTGAAGAAAAAATAGGTTAGACAATGGAAGTTTACATTGATGATATGTTGGTTAAGTCCCTGCGCGCAAATAACCATTTGACTCATTTGCA